TCAAGGCTGGGGGCCCGCGGGTTTGCACGGGGAACGGTGGGCGCTGCCCGTCAGAGCTCAAACGCCGGCCTTCGTTGAGCCCACGCGGCGCCGGCCGGATGGGGAGAGCAGATACGGGTTTAGGCAGCATCACCCGCTGCCTCGGTTAGGAGCGGGGATCGCTAACAAAACCGACCCCTTCTCGGAAGGGTTAGTTCTTGAGAAGTTTAGCATTGGAGAAGACGGTGGAAAATAAGAGGTCGCTGGTTCTAGTAACATAATAGAAGACGATGGGTTCTGCGGCGCGGGGCGAGGTGTTTCGGCAGGGCTCGGCGCTGCGCGGGAGGGTGGCAGGGCAGCTCGCTGCAAGCGACTGGAAGGACCTCAAAACTCATTTGCTTTTGTCTTCTCTGTGTGTCTCTGACAGGTTACAGCCAAGACTGCCTTCCTGTTTATCTTACCTCAGTATAACGTTAGCCTGCCTACAGCAGGTAAGTGATGCTGCCACCGCAGACACCCCGCGGGGAAAAAATCGAGCCTGACCCTCGCTGCCGGCTGGCCTGGGCTCACCCTCTGCAGCTGCACACTGCCTGGGGACCTGTCTTTAAATTAAGAAGGGTTTGGGGGCAGGGGGGGCAACCTACTGGGTTTGGGAAGAAAAGTTTTCCTAGTGACGATGGGGTTTAAAGACTTCCTCCCTCCCCCGGCTCTGATGTGGTCAGGCTGCTCCGTGCGCTTTGCAGGGTGGCTGTCCTCCCCGCCAAAGCCTGGCCGAGCAAGAAGGAATTGCCCGATTACATGCCCGAGGTGGTTTTATACCCTGCTGGGGCGCGGGTGGGATTTAGCTCTTTGCTAACCGGCAGGGGCTGCACAGGTAATTCCTCTTGCGCTTTATTTATCGGTCAAGCCAAGTGCTCGAGGCACAGAGCCTGGGGTGGTGGCGGAGGAGAGGCAGCAGCGGGAAGCTGCAGTTCATTAGAAGTATTTGAATAATCGTCCAAAGGAAGAGCAGGATTGTTGGGGTTAACGGGAAAAAAAATATATATCTAAGGATAAAGAGGGAGGCACGTGGAAGATAAAAGATCTGCCCTTAAAATTTTTGAGCGTCATGGCCAGAGAAATCATCCAGCTTCCAGATTAAATTGTGGTCTGGGCTCCCGTATAGCACAGTCCAGACAACTTCCGTTGCTGTGTCCTTCTATTACGTGGTTTGTTCTTCCCTGCTACCAGAAATCTGGGGGCCCGCGTAATTATCTCGCTGGCGAAAGGAGGGCAGCACTGTCATAGGGACCAGGTGATAAAGTATATAGGGAACCAGCTAGCTCAGGACTTAGCCGGGGAGACCAGCTGGGCTTAGTGCAGTGAGCTTGCTCGGGGGAAGGTTTACTGCTAAACCGAATTCTTCCAATTCCGTCAGCCAGCAGACTCTCCCTTGTGGCTAGTGTCTCCCCACGTTTAGCACATGTACGGCTCCCGCTGGAACAGCTTGTGAAATGCTCTGGAGAAGGGAGAGGAGACTGAGCAGTTTCACACATGCATAACGTTTTCTTCAGACCCACCATTCTTTTATCTCGTACAGGGGTTACGAGCTCTGTGGTGCAGGCAATTTTTTTCCCTCTGTTTCTGCACAGCACCTAGCTAACTGGCTCCTAGGGACCAGACAGTGCACATCTTAACACTGGCCGTCATAAATCCTACTCGATCCATGTTCGAGTACCTAAAATCTTAGCAATCTGGGTGGAAACTCCCATTACTCCAAACCACGGCCTCCAGGCATGGCTGTGGTGGGCTTGTTTCCCGAGGGCTTACGCAACCTCCCTCTGCCACCACTTCCTGGGCATGCCATAACCCAGAGAGCTTTTCCCGGCATCTCCTCATGTAGTAATGCCTTGGCTGCAAGAGGCCAGGGCTGGAGATAGTTGCCTAAACACAGACGTCTGGGATATTTTGGGTGCTGGAGAGAGGTCTCTTGTCTGGCCTCTGCCTGCCACTCCAGAAGGGCAGGTCTTATTTCACAGCTCCGTGCTGATGTCTTGGATCTCTTAATAGCACAAGGCACCTGTGTTTGGGTGGCTGAACCCTGCTCCAGTGGTTACAGCAACTGGAGGTTATACGACAACAGGCGGTTGACCTGCCTTGGAAGTCATGGGATGTCCTCCGTGTCCCCACTCCAGAGGAAAGCAGGCCCATGGCATATCCTGCTGGCAATTTCCAAACCCTAATGCTCCAAGTGGGGTGTCCCTGCAAGCATGAACAAGGCCCGTTGCTGCCTTCAATTATTTCTCGTCTTAGTCCCTGTATTAGATAGGGGAATTTATCAATGGTGCAAGTCCTATCTGCAGCAGAGCCCTCTGTGCCTCTGAAACCAGGTGGCCCCATCCAAGCTGTGTATTGGGAATAATCCCTGGCTCACAGTGAGTCTTAAGCCCTACCTGGGAATTGTTTGGGCCAGCTTGATTTGGTCCATCCGTTTGGTCTCTTTGCAGACGGGGAGCTGGTCCATTATCACTACGGGCTGAAAGATCTGGTCACCATCCTCTTCTACATCTTCATAGCAATCATCCTGCATGCGGTGGTGCAGGAGTACGCCCTGGACGTGAGTGCCGTTCGGTGTCTAAATAGCAAACCCACAGGGAGGGCATGGGGCACGGGGTACTGCTGTGGCTAAATGCAGCTCTGAGGAGCTCTAGGGGTGGTCTTTGGGGTTGGGGTGGAAATGTGAGAGCTTTAATCTCTGGTGGCTTCATGGGAAGGAGAAGAAGAGGGAGAGTTGTTGATCCAGTGGCTCATGTTTTTCTTTTCTTCCCTTCTCTCTCCCTCTCCTTCCTCCCAGAAAATCAACAGGCGTCTCCATCTCTCCAAGGTCAAACACAGCAAGTTCAACGAGTCGGGGCAGCTGGTTGCGTTCCATCTCACCTCCGTGATTTGGTGCTTGTACGTCGTGGTGACGGTAAGGCACGGCGTTTTGAGGTTGGGTTTGGCTTCCCCGCTGCACCGACGGATCTCGGTTCCTTTTCTGTGGAAACGGCCGGCGAGTCCCAAACCGGTGCTGTCAGACAACGGCTCTGGGACTTTCTGCTGCTGCTGTCAGCTGCAGGGAATCAGAAAAGCAATGATGATGGGGGAAGAGCAGGGCATGATACATTGCCTGGAGCCCGAGTTCCTCCTTACGTTATCGTTGCCCATGGACAGGTGCAGCTCAGAAACGTGGGGAGATGCACGTAGCAGATCCCCCTCCCACATGCTTCGGTGTACCCTCTGCCCTCTATTTTTGCTCCCAAAGTGAAGGGATGAGCTTAGTCAGAGGATGTTCAGTGCAAGCCTAGGCAGTTTGCTTCGATGTTAAAGGCAGCTGGTTTGGAGCCGTATCCGTCCTTTCAGCTTTCGTTGCGCTTCAGGCGTGTGGGAGGAGTTGCCCTGGGCCCTGGGGTAGAGTTTGGAGGAGGATGTCAGGGTCTGGGAAGCGCCGGGACGGTGCAAGCCGAGATGGCAGCAGTGCCAGCCCTCCCAGAGGAAGCTGCAGAGGGCTCTGGACCCCGTCCCCCCACCTTGGCAGCCTCTTCTCTCCCCTCCCCGCTCCCCATCCTGGGCAAGGCTTTCCGCTGGGAGGCCCCTCTATTCAAGCCGAGGAGGCTAAAAAAGCTCAGCCAGGCGGGCTATCTGATCCACTGACTGCAGGACTTTATAATCAACAAAGCTGCTCCGTAAAGGCTCTGGGCAGGGTGTTAATTGTGTGCACGTTCGCGAGAGGCGATCCGTTAACCCGGGATACCGCTGCCCCTGGAACGAGCGGAGAAGGGAACGGACCTGACGCGGCGCCGCCGGGCGCTCGGTGTTTGGTACCCGCGCTGCTGCTCACCCCCCACCGCCGCTTCCTGCAGGGCGGGAGAAGCAGAGCGGCAGAAAAGACTTTCAGTGCTGAGAGGCGTTTTGCATGTCTGGCAGCGTGAACCGCCTGACTTTGCTGGGCTCAGGCAGCGGGGCGCCCGGATGGGGCGAAAGGCGTTTGCAGAAGCGCGTTGAGCGGGAAGCAGTTTCTGTGACCGCTTGGGAGTTGCGGCGACCTAACGATGCGGACTACAGCCGGGTAGCGCAGAAACGCAGCCCCGGGGTAGCAACGTTTTCGACCTGGCTTTCCGCCTGCTCCTTTTCCATGCGGCGAGCTTTTGCACGCAGCCCGTGAGCAGAGAGCAGCCGGCTGCCCGTCGGCCGCAGGTGCCCCGAAACTGCTCGGTGCTGGTGAGAAACTGGCAATTTGCTTTTTCCCAGCTGGTCCCCGCACGCGCATCTGCGGTCCCCCGAGGGACTGATGCCTGCCGCTGTTTGCGTGAGCGCCCCGAGCCCCTCTTTGCTGAGCGCGGTGCAACCGGCGGGGGACGCTGATCTCCGCTTGCCGCGTCGCTCTAGCTTGAGTCCCGCTGCCTCTCTGGGATGCAATGAGTTAAAGCGGCTTGGGACTTGTTTCCCAAAATATTCCCCGCTGTGCAGAGGGGACGGCGGAGCAAGGTGTTTGCGTGATCTCCAACTTTCAAACGGAGCGGGTTTTTTCCAGGCGCTGAGTCTGAGGAGACCCTTTTCCTCCTTTGTGCAATGAAGAAGTAAATGGGCCGTGAAATACCGTTGCAGCCAGATCCCGAAAGTCGTGCCTGGCCCTATTAGCTCTATTTACTGCTTTGGGACCTGCCTACTTCCTCAACCTGTTATTTATCTCCTTATTTGCCTCTAGTGCTGTTGGGGTATTAGGACGCCCTTTGCAGGGATGCGGGGAGAACGGGCAGTTGCTCGGCAAGGGGGAAAGTCAGCAATAAGGGGGCTGTCGAGAGCAGAGAAACCACTCGGCACCTTTGGGGGCGTTTCAGCCCAAACAAGCTGGAGCTGAAATGCTTTGTTTTTGAGAACGAGGGGGTTTTTAAATCTGAGGAGGAGGGAAAAGCACCAGAAGGTTTCAGATGAATTCGAAGCGTTTTGGCAGCGTGAAGCGAAGATGCTCCGCTGCTACCGAACAGAAGAGCCGGCCGCTGCTGGGGTCCAGATGCGGCACCCGGCCCACTCTCCTGACGGATGCTTCGTGAGCAGGTCTCCTCCTCCGCTGCACGGCGTGGGGGTTTATCCGGGCCCTCGCTAAGGAACCGCTAATTCCTCCAAACGAGAGGTCTGCTTGCTTGCACTGCTCCTTCCCAGCAGGGCTGCAGGGAAGGAAGCTGTTTTTTGGGTTTGTTTTTTTTTTTTTTTTTGCACTCCCCCCTCTCCCAGCACCAGATCCATCCCTCAGCGGCCCCGGGTCTGCAGCATGCTGTGCAAACACGCAGGGCCGCGGTTGTGCCAAGGAGCCCCGAGGGCCGCGCCGCCGCCTGAAAGAGCCTTCAGAGCTCTCCGGCCCCGCTGCCCTGCCCCCCCGCCAACACCCTGCCCTGGCCCCGGCTCGGCATCCGCTGTGGTTTTTGCAGTGAAAACACTATGAATGAGGGCGAAACGGTGCGTTTTTTGCCTCCGGCATCTGGTTGTCAGAGATGATCTATCAACTTTGAGGGCTCCCCTAAAAGGTGGATGCCAGATGGCTGGTCCTTACCCTGCTGCAATTTCGCAGGTGGTTCTTTCTCCAATCCCTGACCTTGCTGGCTTTTTCAGCCCCTTCATCGCTGTTTTTCTGGCTCTTGGAACCAGAGCAAACCAGCTTATGCTGTTCTTTTTTCTTGTTTTTTTTTCTCCCCCCTGCCCCGTGGTGGGAAGGGCTTTCAGCCTTGTTTACTTTCCCCATGTTTCCAGGAACTCTGAGATCCGTGTAAAATCTGTAGCGTTGACACAGCAAGTTGTCTGAACACCCCACGTGTGCCCCGTATTTCACAGAGCAGGTCACTGTTTGAAGTGCTTGGGCCTCCCCCAGGCTCCTATGGGTCACACTGCTGAAAAGAGGGCATAGGGCAGAAAGAGTGCAGGTGAAGGGGTGACAAGTGGGTCGTGCGCAGGATTAATGTTCTGCACAAACATCACTCTGCAATGCCCGGCCCAGGATCGGGACCCCACGTTGTCAGGTGCTGTGCAAACGTGGAACGAGTTGGCAGCCCTGTCTTGTAATTTATCCTGCAAGCCTAAGGTAACAGGCCTAGGGGAATGCGGGCAGGGGGAGAATTAAATTATGCAATGCGTATTTAGTTATTTTTTAAGGGTTTTCTCTTCTCCTTTGTCTTCAAAGGCACTCCTTTTTGCTTAGCTGGTGCTCAGGTTGAAAACTCTGGTGGGGAAGAAGCCTCCTGGACCACCATGCATGTGGTACCTGTGCTACTGGCATCTTGCCCCCGCACTGCCAGAGCTTGTGTGGTCCAAACCCCAAAGCATCCTATCCTGAGCTCAGAGCCCTTTATGCAACCAAGGAAGCAGCCTTCAAACCCCAAACCTGGAGGCCCAACGAAACTCAAGCAGGCTGCTAAAGACCCGTGAACACGGCTGAGCCTCGGTGATCTCAGCCTTGGCTTGCCCATCAGGGCACGGTTTTTATTTTAATGCACATAGGTCGTGGCAGCTCTGAAAGGTCTCAGGCCTCCTCCCCAGGCTCCTAGTTTTGACGTAGCGTTAGCCTGCCCTGCTGTAACCTTGCAGTGCCTGTTTCTTTTGCTGAAGGTTTGCATCTCTTCTCTTTCAGGAAGGATACATATCAAACCCCCGGAGTCTGTGGGAAAACTACCCTCATGTTTATCTTCCGTAAGCACTCGCGAGGGCATTTTGTTCTTCGGCTGGCCGCTTCCTTCCTCTTTACGGTTTTCCCTGCGGCTGGGAGCAGGGTGCTGACAACGCAGCGCCCTTTGCATACAGCCTCCAGCTCCCTCCTGCAAGGACGCCGCAGTGAGATCCTGCTTTTTAGCAGGCTCTTGGGGGTACCGATGGCAATCTTGTTTGCAGTCCTGGGGAGGGTTTTCCTGGAGGCAGGTTTGTCTGGGGGACCTCCAGGCTCCGTGACCCATCCCTGCTGCTTGCTCCCTACATCACCTGGGGCAAGCCACTTATTTGCTCTTCATGTTTCTTAGTAGAAACAAAGAAGAAGGGGGTATAATCCTTCTCTCTTGGCATTTTGCAAGAGTAAGCATTAGGTTCACCGAGAGCATGGAGACAACAGCATGAGCAGCTGGATAAAATCCGGGCATGACTAGCTCAGTTAAACATGTAATTTCTGCCCAGTAATGATGCCTCTTGAATCCAGTGGCTTCAAAGAGGCCGAGAGGTTGCCTGGTACTCTGTGGTCAGCTCCGCCACAGGCAGAAGCCTTCCCGGGGCTCTGAGGCTGGGGGAGCCACGCCATCTCTCCGTGCCTCGGGCTCTCTCATGCGGCTCGTCCATGCGTTTCAGGTTCCAGGTGAAGTTCTTCTACCTGTGCCAGTTGGCGTACTGGCTTCACGCGCTGCCGGAGCTCTACTTCCAGAAAGTTCGCAAGGTGAGAGCCAGGCGGGCGCGAAAAACGTCACCCGAAGTGGCTGCGGTGCTCTTAGGTGGAGAGCTGGGGGGGTGCTGGACCACGAGGACCACCATTGGAGACAGCAGCTTTTTGAGCATGGGTCTGGTCGCTGCCGTCTCTCCGCTGCCTTTGGTGTGCTTGATGCCGTTTACCCACCAAACTGGGGAAAAGTAGGCTTTGGGATTTAGGGGCATAGAGGTGTGAGGGGTTTAACGCAGCACCTTTCTGCCCCTACTAGGAGGAGATCCCTCGCCAGCTGCAGTACATTGCTCTCTACCTGGTGCACATAGCCGGCGCGTACCTCCTCAAGTGAGTTGGGTGCCTTGGCTTCCCTTCCGGTGCTGCGGCTGAGACTGCGGGTCACCACGCAGTCCTGCGTCGGGTGCTGAGCAGGTCCTTTTGGAAGGCTGGGCTCAGCTTTGGTCACCCTAAAAGCCTCAGCCAGTGGGCATAAAATAGAATAAGGAGACTGTTTAGAAAAGAGATCCTATTTAACTTGCACAACTCCCTGCTACAGGATGTTAAGAGTCAAACCATTTTCACAGACCCAGCTATTTTTGAAGTTCTTCAGCCAGTTTATGCGAGTGCATAAGTCATCTCTGTTCAGAATGCGTTGCAAAGCAAACGTTAGCTTGAGGATCCTTAAGCAGAGGCTGCAGGGAGCATTTTTCCTGGGGTCGAGGGAAGCTCTCTCCTCTAGGGCGCGTTCCCAGCATGGCACATGCAGACAAGCTGTTAGCCTTCCTCTGGTCTGTACAGAGCAGCATTGCCAGGGGCTCAAGTTTTGTGTTGGACTGGTCTCTTCCAGCCTCTCCTACTGGTTTGGGCCACTTTATCACTTTGTAGCTTGATGTTTTAAGGGATTATCTTTCCCCTGTGATCCTACAGCCTCTGCTGCAAAGAGATCTGGGTTTTGGTTGGCACTTGCTGCAGTTAAGGAATTGCAAGGCACATGACATAGCTGGATAGGAAGGACTAAGGATGAGCAGCCCAGTAATTCTTTCTTCTCTCCCTCTTTGTAGCTTAACACGCTTGGGGCTGATCCTCTTGCTGCTGCAATATTTAGCTGAATTCTTCTTCCACATGGCCCGCCTCGTCTACTTCACGGATGAGAACAACGAGAAGCTGTAAGCAGGACAGCTGGTCATGGCTTTCCTTCCCCTGAGGCAGCCAATGCCAGGGAGAGCCGCCTGCATCCCGAAGAGCCCGAGGGGGCTCGCTCTCATCTTTCTGCTCAGTGTTGGTGGGCAGAGACCTGGGAGGGGAGGGCAGGACCTACAGCGGGCCTCTGTTTCTGAGAAGAGCCAGTTTAGGAGTAGGGTAGGGAGAGTCGGCAGCAGGGAAGAGGGGTGTTGGGGCACGTTGTTGAGCCACGCTGTGCTCAGTGTTGCTTTGTGTTGCTCTGCTCACGTTGAAGGCGAGCAGGATAGACAGGGCTGGGTGTGTTTGTCCTGCTGCAGTGCGTGTGCATATGTGTGTGCGTGCATGTGTGTGCATGTGCAAGGCACCACTGTGGGCAAAGCTGTCAAAAAAACAGGCCCCAAAAGGGTGATACTCGACAGCTGATACTTCCTGCTTACCTCCCTTGAAGCATCAAAGGACAAATGCTGATGATGTGAACCTCTGCTGAGAATAGCCTTTGCTTGTGACCCAGCAGAGGCCTTCTATCAGTCTGTGGCCTCTGCTGGGTCACCATCTACTGTGTCTGCCAGGACATCCGCCACCTGACTGACTGCACCTCACGATGCCAGCACTGGTCTGCCGACACCTCTGCTTGTCTCCCCACAGGTTTAATGTCTGGGCTGTTGTGTTCGTGGTCACCAGGCTCTTCACCCTCACCCTTTATATTCTGGTCATCGGCTTTGGGCTGCCTCGGGTGGAGAACCAGGCTCTTGACCCTGAGAGAGGGAACTTCTTCAGTTTCCTCTTCAACAATATCCTCTTCAGGTAAGGAGCTATCATGTCCCCTACCATATCTGGGAGTGGAGGGGGCTGCTTTTGTATCATATGCTTTCACATATGCTCATGTGATCAGGAAGATGCTGAGGCAGAACTGAGCTGTTAAAACCTCTTCCTTATGTTCCTTGGTGGTTTTCTCCCATGGTTGGTTTTGCTGAGTTAGGAAACCCCAATGGGGATCTGAAACTCTCTGGGCTGCCTGCTAAGGAAGGCTCTAGCACCTGGGATGGCATGGAGAGAGCAAGGAGGGGTGAAGGCTACTGAATCATGGTAGTGGGGAAAAGCCAACAAACAAGTTCTTTGAGTGAAGTAACCAGTTATAAAGGATAAATGAAGGCAGGTATCTTAGGGAAAGACTTGCAGGCCCTTCCTTCTTGCACCCTTAACTGCGCTTACAGGGATGCAGTCGATGTAAAGAAATGTTCTCTTCTGTTTGGAAATGTTTTGCTGCCTACTGGCATGGGAACCAGAGGCTAGGGCGAGTTTTCTATGGCTTTCCATCCATGAAGACTTGGAGCCTTTCCTACCCATGCAGTAGCTGTGGGTTCAGTTCAGAAGTCTTTAGGGCAGGTGCTCTGGGTCCATTCAGTTGTTCCCAAGCTTTTTGGAGCCAGGGACTAGTGTCAAGCTTGATAGTTTAGGGCTTTTTCTAGCTCCCTTCCAACCACATCCAGCTTTTAGCTGATTATACTCTAAAGGCAATACATTTCTATAGAGCAGCCAGGGGCCATTTAGTCCATCCTAGCGCTGAAGTCTTGTCATCTGCAAGCTTAGTGGTGGAAAGGGAAAGGGGAACAGCTGTCCTGAGCTCAGGGCATAGCAGAAAATAGAGATGCTGGCGAGGTGGAGACTCCGTTTTCTAGTGGCACCAAGGCCTGGACCAGCTATGTTACTCCACTGGTTTCATTCGCCAGGCCATCCTCTGTTACACCTGTGGGTCTCTTAAGCAGGGAGGAGGCAGTGATTCATTTCGAATTGGGAGGCTTTTGCAGGAGCTAAAAAAGGCTCTTTCTCAGGCAGCTGGTGCCTGCCTCTGGCTCCCAGGTGGCCATCCAGGCAGCTTGGAGTGGCTGGGGGCCTTGGACACTGACCTCAATGGGTTTGGGGAGCAGGCCTCTTGCTTCTCAAAGGCTGGGTTCGTGGTGGCCTCATTCGTCTGTTCTCAGCCTGCCTCTTCTCCGCCCCTGCCAGAATGAGTGTGCTGCTGTTGGTGTGCCTCTTCCAGGCCTCGGTGATGTGGCGCTTCATCCACTTCCAGCTGCGGCGCTGGCGGGAGTACTGGAATGAGCAGAGCACAAGGAAGCGAGCCGCCGCGGCTGCCACCAGCGCCAAGCAGCAAGCCAAGCCCCTCAAGAGGGACTCGGGTGAGTGCTGTGGCCGGCACAGGGCTGATGAGGGATGGGGTGGTACTACGTCAAGCACAAGGCGTCAGCCCTGCAGCACGGTGTCCCCGCTGTTGCCTGTACCAGGGGCTGCCTGTGGAGGCAGTGCTCAAGGGACGATGCCTCCTGCTGCTCCTTGCTGAGCCCCAGAGAACCCTAGCGGGGCTGTGTCCTGAGGGCCACAGTTCCAAGCTAATAGTGTTTCTCCCCACGTTTATGGGCTAACCCTAATAAAGCTAAAGCCATGTGGGTTTTGGCTTTTTGCTCTAAGCCGAGGCAAAGTTTTGGCCCGTCTAGGGTGATGTGGGACAAATTGTTGTCCTTCCGCCCTTCACCCCGCCCCCAGGTTACCATGAAAACGGAGTGGTGAAAGCTGAGAACGGGACCTCACCGCGAACCAAGAAGCTCAAATCACCATAGAAGCAAAGGCTTGTCTATTAGGGAGGAGGACGAGATACCAGGACTAAGAACCAGCCCCTCCTCCCTGTCCTCACGAGCATCATCTTGAATGGCTTGGAAACCTGTCATCTTCACAAGGTGTCTCTCGCTCTCCTCCCTTCCTTTCTTGCTCTCTTGAACCATTTGCAATAAAACCAAAAAGGTCCCTTCCCCTACTCCCTTCCCTTCATAGGAGTGTGTTCTAAACCTCCTGTTTTTGCCTTCCTCTGTTTCATTGTAAGTCAGCGTGCAATTTTTTTTTCTATTTTAGTGTTTGGTTTTTTTTTTTTAGTTATTTTTATGAATGCGTCATAGATGGTTCCAAACAATCCTTTTGTTCTCTTCTACAGCGTGTTCCTCCCCTCTGTTTGTGCTACTTCCCTGAACCCCTGGTTCAGGGACACGGCAGCTTGAAAGCACCACATATCTGTGATGAGAACAGATGCCTGGGGGAAGATGGTGGGGCTCTGTGCTCAGTCATGGCTGTGACCATTAGGCTCAGGGGTGTTCTTGGGTGAGGGTTGCCTCTCCACGGACACATCTATCGAGCACTTGGCAAGTGCCACAGGATAGTGATGCTGCAAATATGGACCAGGATCCAGGAGAGGAGTCTTGTCTCATAGAGGACTTCTGGTAAATGGGGTTCCTCTGACCCCTGGTTTTGAGCTAATTTCAGAGAGCTGTGCAGCAGAGAAGGGAGAGAAGTTCCCTCCTCATACAGGACCCCTAGCCTTTGCTTGCCTTAGCTCTTCTGGTACAGCTGATCCCTCTTATCATCTTGGCTGCAGGACATGAGCAGCCCCTATAGCTGCCCTGGACCTCCCAATTCTGAGAGCTGGGCTTCATGCTTTGCAACTCTTAGTGCCTTGTCATGGGAGCAGTTGCATCCTCACGCCCAGGCTGTGTGAAGTCTTGAGTCCTGCCCCACTCTGAGCACATTTGTCGACTGGCCTGGGTCCCATCAGCCCAGGCCCTTTGCTTACTTGAGCGTGACTCACGGACTTGGTGTTCTCATGGCTCTTAACCATGTCTAGATGAGCAAACTGGCTGCTGTGAAGGGTTGTGCATTAACGGGACAGTGCTCATCATGCTATCACCTTAGCCTTCCTCGTCCCTACCATACCAGTCCCGCTGTGCCATCTGCAGCCATCAGCTCCTCTCTTTGTTTCCAAAGGATACAGAGCTTGTATCCACCCAAGGTGCTATCACATGCAGGGTTTCTTCCAAAAACCTAGCCCCGTCATCCCTTTGTGAGCTGTGAATGAGATGATAGGGAAAGGAAAGGAAGTCAGGGGCTGCAAAAAGTAGCTTGTATGTTAGGAAAGGCCTGACCTGTGACACATAGCTGTTGGCAGGTGGAGTTGTCTCAAATCTACCTCAAAGGCCATCTGTTCCTACAGACCACTTTTCCCTCTTGCTCCTGCCTGTTGCCATCTGTACATACTGGCAGGAGATTCGTGGGAACCAGCTCGGTCCCCTGCTGCCCCTTTGCTGGAGAGTAGCATCTCCTGCCCAGTGTTTCATGCATCAGTGCCAGCTCACTGAGCAGTGGGCCTCTTTTTGCTGCCATGCACTGTTCCAGATTTGGCAGATGTGCAGTAGACAGGCACCTCTCACCCTGCAGCTCTCCTCCAGGGGAGTTTCTGTAGCTTGGCTTTGCTGTTGGTGCCTCTTGTGCAGCAAAGCCAGCTGTAGCTTTTGTTCCGCTTCACTATGGTGGGAGCAGGTAACCGGTGTGCGCTCTCGGCTGGCTGAAAAGAGGATGCTGCCGGTTGCATGGGGTCAAGGAGAGCTAGGGCACTCTTTGATATGAAAGTAGGGATTGAAGTCTGCCTTCCTTGGGGGTGAAGGAGATGCCCGGTCTCTTAGTGTTCTCCTTGCTCAGCCCTTTGGGCAGTTGAACTCGGTGGCTCTCTTCGAGCGTGATTCTAGCTTGCGCTCTCTTGTGTGTGAGGCTGAAGCAGTGTCATCCTTCAGATCATTCATGTTTTGGGGAATGGGTGACAGCTGGGTTTTTTGCTACTCTTAGAGATGAGGGTTTTTTCTTCTATAAGGTGTCTTTGCTCGCTCTCCCCGCCTCTCCTCTTAGTTGAGCCCCAGCTAATGCTGGGCGCAGGATGGAGAAAATGTGCAAGCACTTGAACACAGTTGAACAAATCCCGCTTGTTCCTCCATCCCCATGACTCTGAATGCCAAACGAGATGTCAGCAGGCATTTGGGAGAGGGGTTCCCCTGTTTTCAGGAGAACGGAGGAAAGAAACTTTGGAGCAGAGTACCTTTGGTAGTACCTTACAATTGCTCCTCTTAGTCGTTGCCAGACAGATAATGTAACTCTTGGCTTGAACTGTAGGCAACAGTGCCTACAGTGCAACACGATAGGAGCTGAAAAGAGCTTTACGTTAGGGAGGACACAGAAAAGGCCTAATGTGAGAGGCCTTTCCTTTCTGCTGCCTGCCTCCCTTCCCTAGCCATCCACTGCCATCTGCCCTCCAAAGAGTGACTGCTAGCTGGCACCTCTCCATAGCCTTAGCTGGTCCTTTCTGCAAAGCAGGTGCCTCACACCAGCTGAGGTATTGACTCTGTGTTAATAGATGACATGTACAATCCCAAAAAAACTGGCTGCTGAATAACTTCTCCTGCCTGCCTGCTTTGCTTCAGGCAGCTTTTCCTCTTGCACAATCCTGCGCCTTCATAAAATAGCTAATTATGCTTTGTATCCCAAGTGCCTTATGTTGCCATGTAGTCCCTTGTACTCTTAATCTACGTACTATACCAATAGCTATGCACCCTCCCTTTTTACAACATATGTATGACGTATGCTACATTTATGTGTTTATGGATAGAGCTACCAGAAAAAGGGACAGTTTGTTTTGGAAGCATCTCCATGTTTTCTTTCTTTATTCTGAAGACTGGGGGTGGAGGTTGCCCTCCCCTATCTTTAGTCCTCTGAAATCCCCTTCCTTCTCCTGTCAACTGCATTATGACCCCCTAGAGTTTTTTGAGCTGAGCCTTTACTGTAATGTACTATCAACTGTCATTCCAGCGGTTTGCAGTCCACTGTCAATCAGAGGGGCCACCACAGGCTGCTTCTGGGTCTATATATTAACACAAACACTATCCCCTTGGCTGCAAGCTTGCAGTAACTGGTTCTATATTCATGGCTTTTCTCAGCAGACCAAGTCTTCTCTCCAGCCCAAAGAGCTTTCTTTTCTTCCCAAATGGAGTATTTTCTCTGCAAGTTCCTAGTGGTGAGTCTTTCCTTGACAATTCTACATACAAAGATGCTGAGAGCCCGCTTTTCTCAAGTGGATGCTCTTCTCATGCCCTGTCCTGTCAAATCCTGTGTCTTCTATAAAAAATAAAAACAAACAAAAAATAGGAGCTCTTGTCCACCACAGAAAGTGTTAGAGACTATGCAAAACTGCAAGTCCCTACTTCCAGTGTAACACTATTGCTTGCTCCACACCCTTCCTATGGGCTTGTGACTGCTTTTGTAGTCTCTATGTCCATTATTCACCCTGAGAAGGCCAAGAATCAAGTAGTGTGTGATTCCTTTGCTGTGAAGCATAGTGTTTTCCTGCCCCAGCCTAGAAAAGCTTTGACGTACCAGTTCTCCCTTCCTGTCATAGTAGGGAATGGGCTTGGGAAGAGAGGGGGTGGAGGAAGAACAGATGTAGCATTTCATGTATAATTTTTGAGTGACTCTTAAATAATGGGGCATTACAGCTGCATTTGCTTAGGGTTCTTTTTTCTTGTTCCTCATGTGTGGGGTTAGTAAAGAAGATGAGTTCTACTTCCCCTATATGTCCCTCTACCCTTAACTCACCATTTTAAAATGATTTTTTGGTAGGCTTCCCGGTTGGAGTCGAGGTGTGGAGAAAGACTACTCTAGGATGCCTCCCCCCTGCAAGTTAGTCTTGAAGCCTGTAGATAGGCTGGCTTCATTCAGTGCCTGGGGATTTACAGCAGCATCTGACTCTTGCCTTAGTGAAGTCTTGGTTGATGGAGTCTGTTTGACTTGCATCAACGACAGAGGGAGATTATAGTGATCTGACTACCGCCTTTCTGTAAATTTCATGAGTGTGTAATAGGTGGTTTGTTTGGCAGGCTTTATATGAAACTGTGAAGTATGCTTCTGAGTCTCTAGGCTGTGTTGGGTTTTTTTTTGTCTTTTTTTTTTTTTTTTTTTGCCAGCAGTGGGGAAGAATGGATGTTGTAAAAGCTAGGTAGGGGCATGTAGCTTTCCTTCAGATACGTTGAACTCCATGGACCAAACTTCAGCAAAGGAACTCAAGGAAAATTCTGTTCTTCCATATTTATCCTTTAGTGCAAACTTCCTAATTTTGGAGGGGGTGGGGGGAAGTAACAGTCTCAGATGTTTTATCCCATTTGTTTCATTCTTCCTGTCACTTAGTTTTTGTATGGATTTTTGATGTTTGTTGTTAAATGACTTTTGTGATAAATTCAACAAAAGTATTTTCTGAAATAAACAAATAAAAAGCATAGATTCTTCCACTGCTGCTGATCACTGATGTTTCATCACTCTGCTAAGCTATCTATGTGTTTACGAAGCAGGCTGGGATGGGTTTTACATATTTTTCTCCTGCCATGCCAGACAAGTCTGTTCCCTTTGGTGCGGCATGTTGTATCCTCATATTCCCTGCATATGGGGTTCATCTTTTCAAACTTTCCATGTCTGCAGCATGAACAGCTGCTTCTGAGTTAGTTACCTCTGGCTCCCTTGACAGTTGGGGGTGGAGGATAAGGGCATTTGCAGGGTATAATTTATCTATCTATCTGATGTAGTTTAGGTGCATACTTTATGGTGAGATAAATTGTATGCTTTCTGCAGCCGGCCCTGGGCGTGCTACGTGATTTGGTTGAGTATTAGGTTGCAGTTCAGAGCATGTACAGAAAACAAATTCCGATTTTTCTATTCTATGATCCGCAGCTCCAATAATCTCATCTCTAAGTCCTCTAAGACCTCTCTGGAAAAACTGATTAGGGTGGCCTTTAGAAGTTAGTCTTCGTCAGCTGCTGCTTGGAAAGTACCTGACACAAACCCAAGCCACGTTTTGAAATATGAGGTTGACCAGAGATAGCTTTTTAGCAATTCCCAGTTGGAGTTAGCAGCAGCATAAATGGGCCTAGAAGGGAAGAGCAGTGACCTTTTTGAACAAGAGGAGGCAGGAGGCAGCTGTTGTGTGGAGACCCTCAACTATCTAAGGGGAAGCAAGAATCCACTGCACAAAAGGTGAAGCTGATTAAAATAAGCATTTTGTTCCAAGGAGCTTTGTCTTCTAACCTGTGTAAGATTGCTGCTGTCTTTCATATGTGCTCAATGGTAATACCTGGCAGATGTCACCTGGGGAGAGAAGGTTCCTGCCATGTTTACCTTCATGGAGAGATGAGTAATATGACTCTCTAAAGGGAGTAAAAGTGTCATAACTTTATTGCTATGCTGCCTACTAGCTTTTTCCTTTCATTGGACCTATCCAGTAAGATGACAGGCTGCAAGAGATGGGTTTAGATGATATCTCTGTCCTGAAACATTTTTCCCAACCTTCTGTTAAAAATGCAAAGCTGCTGTTAGCAGATTTGTCTACAGACCCCTGCTATTTCCATGAGACATATAAGAGCTAAACTCTCCATTCCATTTTAAGTAAAACCAGAATCACAATTGGTATTGCTGTTACAGGCATTGAGGAATTTTATTTAAAGCAGACTTATTAACATTAACTCTTTTGCAGCAGCTATGCATGACTTGCTTACACTTATACTTGCTAGTCTGAATGTACCATGGTTCATGGAGGGGCTTTTAAGTCTTCCTGCAATAAAAATTTTAACTTTAACTGGCAGTCTTTGCTTCCCGAAGATGAAAGGCCCCTTTAGACTTTATAAGAGAAATCTAGAGCGCTTATGACTCTAGACGTTAGAGAGCTTTAGCTCTAGCAAGCTTGGCTGTACTGCATTAAAAAGTTGAGATGTCAATGGGAGAACCTGGCTTTGGTTCTCTGAAATTTTTTTCCTGTGAATTTTACTACAAGATCCAGCAGTTCTGAGGTTGAGTTTGGTGGTGGGTTTAAAAAAAAAAAAAACAGGGAGAGGTTAGGAAGGGAAAAAAAGAAATGAAATGCCATTAGTTGGCTCCAATGAAGCAGGGAGGGGGAAAGTGAATGAAGCAAAGGGGTTAAACTGGAGCTGTCCTTTTGAAGTATGATATCTTAAAGTCAACTCAGCTAAGAATGTCATTGCTGGTCTTTCTTGTGCTTCGCCTTCTGGGGTAAGATCAAGAGGGGAAGCCTCTAAGGAAGTCACGGTAGCTTATCTTGTTTTCTCCACAAGAACATAAGCCAATCAGCTGTAGGGGGGGAAAAAAACACCATAAAGAGTTGGAAAAAGCTGCAAATATTGTTGAATTTTTTTAGTGAAGAATACCCAAAGGTAGTCCTTGTGCAACAAGAGCATAAAGTCTTATTCCTCTGTGTGTAGAAGAGCCTACTACCTCAGTAGTCTTGAATCACAGGTAGCCATGAGCAGTTACAGATGACACTAACCTGTGCAAGAAGGAACGTTAGAGCATTTGTATTTAATTCTGTTTTCCTTCTGAGTATTACCATAGTGGCAATAGAGCCACAAAATTAAAACATGGCCACAGACTGACACAGGCCACAGCACATCTTTCAGATACCTCATAGAAATCCCTGCCAAAAGTGGATGGGGACAGTGTAGCTGAACAGTTACTGTTCACTGGTGTCACTCTGGTGTGTGCACATGGCATAGTGTGGAGACACAGATAATTGAGTTCAGTGATGGCCCTGCTAATGAGCCAGTTCTGGTATCCAGGCCTGACCCTGCATTGTGTTACAGAGCTATAGCCTTTGTGTGCTTAAGGGGAAGAAAAGAGAGCTTTTGTTTCTTTAATTGCATAACTAATCTCCTTCTGACACCCAGGGAGATGGAAAAGGTCTAATATCACAGTTCCTTGAAAGGATTCTTCTTCCCCTTGGTGCCTAGAGACAGATCTACTAGGGTTGCTCTCATGTGACTGAAAGCTGTGCTCCTCTCCAATTCAAATAGTAGTTAACTATCTGCCATGTGTTTAATTTGCAATACTGTCACACTTCTGAGGTCTCTGGGCACATACTTGCTAAGATTTCAAGAGAAAAGAGAGATGCTTTTAGTATTTAGGCCCTAGATTGAGATTCAAACTCAGGGAAGGAGGGGGGGGGGGGATGGGCAAGCCTAAATAGTCACAGATTCCCCACATGCTCTTGGACAATTCACTTAATCGTCCATTCTCAGAGTGGAAGAAGGAAGGATTGTCACCACACTGTACTGTAAATTCCTCAAGGAAGAGTGGTCTCCTATGAGCTCTAGCACAGTGAAGCCTGGGAGGTGGTCAAGAACCTTTACTCCGTGTATATTTAAAGACAGAAATACACTGCTTGTGCACCTTTCTAACGATGGCTTTGATGCTCACAGCTGGCTGTTTTAGCAGATGTTTTTTAATACGGAAAACACTCCCTCTGGTTTCTCGATTTCTTTAAATTGTCAGTGTGCTTGTATTGGCCGCTAATCTACTGCATATCACATTATGCTAAGAAAGCATCCTTGCCAGTCATGTTTGTAAAAGGACCCTCCTTCCCCTCTGCATGAATTCTCTCTTCAGTTTCTCATGTCTCCCGCTATGTAGCCTTTGTTCTCTACAGGCTTTTGCTCATACCACCCAGCAAGTCTATGTTTTAGTTGTGCTAGGCAGGTGGGCGCAGATGGCCTGAGGTAGGGACAGCAGAGTACACTAGGTTGCCTTGTGGACTGCGGGCTTGCTGGCCTTCAGTGACAAATGGGTATAAGTGCTAAAAGCGGAAGAAAAGCTGATCACAGGCTGACTTCTCACAGCAGGATCAGGCTGCCAGGAACACGAGGAAAAAGTTACTAATAGTAATGCTTCTAATTTTTTTTTCTTTTTTAGTTAAAGTACAATACTTAGTTCTCAAATCTTCAATTTAGTTGCTATTAAATCTGGAATGTGTCTTAAGTTTTCATAAGGCTGGTTCCCTTAGCACCTCAGTGTTACCTCTGCTCATGTCCAGGCCTGTCTAAGTCATAACTCAGGCACTCAGTAGTTCTGCAGTAGTCTATACCTGATCTCCATCACGATTTACAACCTCTTGTTCTGCTTCTCTTGTCTGTAAGACCTGACCCACCAGGCATTCTCTGGCTTCACGTAACAGTGATGCCAATAACGGGGCTGCTGCCTTGAGTTGCAGGGCACCTGGATTAAATTTCCTCCCTTTACGTAGCGGATATGAATCATTATCTCCTCCTTTCAAAGAAGGCTCAGTCCAACAGCCCAGAGGCCTTTCTGAAATGGAACTTTCTTGCCCTTTTTTGAAGCTGTTCCCCTTTGTAGGGTGGAACAGTTGTCAGTCCTGCCTGGCTAGGGTTGGTTTGTAAAAGAGCTTTTTTGGGAGAGCTGCAGGAGGGGAATTTAATATACACAGCACTGCTTCCTTCTGACCTTGTTAACCAGAATGTCACTGGTCGGCACGCTCAAGCTGTCGCAAAGGGCTAAAAATTCTCCTTTGTCCAGGATCCCAGAGCCATCCTTGTCACGCTGCAGAAACTCCTCCTGAATCTTTCTGTTGTTCAAGTAGTTATGGAGCGTCAGCTTTTCCTGAACCTGCGCAATTAACTCATCCAATTCCTGTTTGCTTGTCCCTAGTATGGGGCTGTCACTGTAGAAGAAAGGGAGAATGTGACTGGGTGTGAAAATTATTTGTGGCAGCCCTACTGTGAGGCTTAAGTGCTGGCTGCCCACTGTGGCTGGCCAGTGGGCAGCCTGAATACATACAATACATCTCTGAATACATAGCAGGCTTCTGGGGTGTTGTGCTTTGAATGACAAGCCCACCTCAGCATGGACACAGCGATGAAGCTCAGGCTTGCTCTTTGGGAGAGTAGGTGAACTATTCTCCCTGTGCATGACACACCCCCCCACCTTGCACTTTTTGTCTGCAAGTGCCTTGGGGAAAGGAGGGCTTCCTTGTGTGCCTCATACAGCGTCAGCAAATGTATACAACTCTAGTTTCAGTCTGAGCATCTGAACTACTCTGATACTAACTGACTCCAAAGTGTGTTTGTGAGGTTACAGGGTTGTTACAGGGTCATCTGAAATGGATCCAGACAGAGTACTAGGAAAGAGGATGTGGTCTTGTCTCTCTCATGCTGATAAGCAGACCCAGAGCAAATGAAAAATACACTCCACCAACTCTCTTAGCTTGCAACCAGCTGGTGGCTCAGGCGGATACTGTTAGCAGCACCTATTACAGTTACTACTGTCCTTGGGAAAAAGATGACCATATCCACTTGAAGGTATCTCAGCTGCTGTGCCAGAGCTGTCCCATAAGGTTTCAGGTCAGTGGCTGTCAAGGCTTTACATTCTATGCAGCTGGTTCCCCTGTTTGTGTTCAGATACAGGCTCTTGGAGCTGAACAAACCATTAGCCAGCAGGCTCGATGCCCCCCCCCACCCCCGCCCCCCTGAACAGCATCAGGCTGGAGGCCATGGAGGGTGCTGGAAATCCCGTTAGTTGTCAACTCGGAGTTTCATTTAGCTCCACTACACCGTCCTTTGAAGCCTACCTTTTGGCAGTCTCCTTTACCACCTGCCTTTGGTGAAAATGATCCCGCAGGGACTGCAGCGTTGCCGCAGGGAAACTCTCTGCATTACTCTCCATATAGTTGAGCACGTATTCATCAGCATCGGTGATAACAAACCTGTGGCCAAACACTGGGGAAAAGGCAACAAAGCAAGCAGTGTTACCTGGGTCTCTGCCCCAGTAAATCACTTCATCATCTAGGAGACAGAATGGTTTCTCCCTTGTGGCGGGATCAGGGCTGAGTAGATAGCTAGTATTTGTTTCAGTCTTTAAAGTAGAAAGGATATCACTGAATCAAAGGGAGTTTTGCTGCAAAAAGAGCAGCTGCTAAGAGGAAAGACCCCATGCTTGTGTCTACAGTGATTCCGCTATTAGCATGGGTGGGTTTATAACATTTCAATATTACATTTATTTTCCTTGAAGGATAAATTCATGGTCTTTGCAACTAAAAGTCATCTGGCACAGCTTTAATCCAGTGACTCCTGGAAGGTCCCAGAAATGCGAGCTGAACACATACGATGGAGAACATTGCTCTTTTCCTGATTATGCCTAAGGTCCAAACACTGTCTGACACTAATGGCGTTATATCAATTTACACCAGCTGGTGATGTGGAAACTAAAATATGGTGAGGCCCAGAAGGAACAAATCTTTCAAGTGGAGGATGGTATATGCACTGTCTGCTGTGCAATAAATTACATAGCAGATCAGGCACTGAAAACAAATGCTCCGAGAGTATTATCAAATCAGATTGGATCTTACCTTCAATTGTGGAACCGATGGTGAGGTCAGAGGGCTCATAATACGTGGCATTCTCTGTAGTAGAGCCTGGTTTGGGGACTCTGGTCTTGCCTAAGTATTTGCCTCCAATGATACCAGAGTTACGGACTGGGGGTTCATAGATGCTGATCATGTCATTCGACAGGAAATAAGAGAGGATGAAACGCCGCTTTCTGTCCTCAGGGTTTGGTGATTCCTAAAGAAAAGGTAGTGGCTTTGGAAAGGAATATTTGAACTAACTTTTTCTTTCCTGGGGTGCTTAGGAGTACCTTGTAACCCACTCATAAGCACCCAGAGTTGATGCTTTTTTTTTTTTTTTTAAAATAACCAACTAAAGAAAGTATTTGATGTAGGCAAGACCAGCAGATATGTTAGCACAGAATAACAAAACCCTAGACAGCATTAAATATCTGGATTTCAAAGGTTATTTGTTCTAGTCAGGCTAACAGAAGCAGAATCTGGGCTGCAGTGACCCAGTGTATTCAGTGTTTCCACAAACTGAGTAATCCAAGAGAAAGGAATATCCTTTATGTCATGATTCATCACACAGAGGAAGACTGGCTGTAAAATTTAGTACTGGAGTTATATTTTTCCTTATAATGGGTCCCTGAGAGAGGCTGGTGCAGCTTCCAGCTCTTAGTCACAGGAAGACACTCCCCCGACACAGCAATGGGTTTACTTGCTTAGATTAAAATTCAGTTGATCTGAACTTGTCAGCTGTGACCTTCAGGAACTCCTGCACAATAGGGAAAATAAATCAGTCCTTATTCACCCTGAGTATTTGGAGAGGGCAGGCCCCAGGCAGCACAGGAAATGCCATCGCTATGGCTGGACATGCCAGAGGTTTCTTGCATAAACTTACTGTAAAGCTGGCACAAAGACCAGGGCCTGAGGTGGAAAGCACCGTGGACTCCCCCTGTCAAACGGCTTCTGCTCTGGTTCTTGGCTGCTCTGCTTGAACAGCCCCTCGCTGGCTGCTGAGGCCAGGACTAGCCTGCAGGAGGACAGGTGCTGAGAGCCAGTAGTGGAGAGACAGCAAGTTCACACTTGTGGCAGCAGCTGAAGGCAGGCAGAGGCACCGTGCCCAGTTGCAATGCTGTTTCAATTAGGGCGGTCTGTCATGTGCTCATGTCAGTGGGAGTTTTTCCATAAATGGCTGCGGTTTTGTAGCATGTCTATTTTGTACTTTCTGGCCCTGTTTTTTTCCCATCATTGCGTGCTAATAATTGTCACAGCGAGTACGCAATAACCTAAGGGCATCCTCCTAAAGGATACTAATGTTGGACTGGGGAACTCTCTTGCACCATTAGCACAGGGAATGAATCAGAGGAGAATTTCCTAACAGCCTTACATGAACAGCCTGTTCCTCACGTCCCTCTGCCTTTACAGCATAAGCTGGCACTGTACGTCAAGGAAAACACTTACCAGAACCACCTGGTATCTCAGGACCTTGTGGTCATTCTCTAGCATCTTAATAACATCTTTCCGGGGAGGCTTTGGAAGCAGAGAAAAGCAGTTCTGAAGGGAGTCTTCAAGGAAGCCAAAACCATTGTAGGGAGGAATTACCTGCATCCAAAGGAGATATCAAGCAGTAGTAGTTGAAACTAAGAAAAAGACAGTGTTTCCAAGACAGATTATTGGAAACCCTCCGTTTGGAAATAACTCTTCTGTCACCAGGTGGCAACAGCTGTGATGTCCTGCCCAGTAGAGACACTGCTAGCCTGGACATATGTCTGAACCCTTATTTATAGACATATTTAAGAGAGTAAAAAGAAATCTGAAAGTCAGAAAGCCAGGTAATTTCTGTGAACAAACTATGCTAATAAACTAACCGGTGCAAAGGCACAGTCCTGTGCACTGAAACTCAGTTATATATACGGTTACATTGCTAACCTAGTCTCCCTCATGTTTGTGATCCGGACCGACCTGCATTCTCCTAACCATACCTAGGTTCAGTTTGGGAGGTAATATGGGCTGGTGACCATTCCCAATAGGCACTTAACAACCCTGTTTGGGAGGATGAGAGAGAGTTTACTAATATAAGCGTGGCCAGGCTGTGCCAGTTGGCTTCCCAGCCAGAGAACAAAACCTGGCACTGTTTAATTCCCTTGTGTAGACATAACCAGAGTGTTTTATATCACTTAGCAAGTGCTTTGTCCTTTACGATGTTAGAAATAAGACTGTTCCAGAGGAACAGTTTCACTTTCATATAGATTATGACCATCCTTGCCTTGTCTTCAAGTTACTTGCCCTTTTTCTTATACTGAACCTCTTTACTATGCAAAAAAGTAACAAAGTAACACTATAGGAACTTACAGGGACTGCTGCTTCCCCTCCCTTCCTCTGGGAAACTGCAGTACCTGTGGCACTTCCTCAAGTGGTTTCTCCCTTACGTCCACTGGCTGGAAGTCTGTGATGCCAAATTTGTCACGATAGAAGTTTCGAGTGAACTCATCACAGTCATAGATGAAGAAAGTGCGTCCAAGGAGGGTGGTAGACTTGCCAACAGCAAAATCCTTGGCTGTGTACCATTCTAGTACCTCCTGATCAGAGATCTCCAGCGCACAACTTGGGAAGGTCTCTAAGGAGAAGGGAGCAAAAGGAGAAGTAAATAAATCAGGTAGCAGTTAATGGTTCTTCATGAAAAGGGATACAGATGCAGGCTGTATAAACAACAGTTGGTACTGCGCTCCTGACACTGTTTCCCAAAAGGTAAAGGCTTTTGCCATAATGTAAAGAATTTTTCTTCAGCCAAAATCTGCTGACACGTGGAGCGTTCTCAGCATAAACTCTCTAGACTTAGTATACCTCTTATCACCTTCTGACCCACCATCCATACCCATGTCCACTCACCAAGGCACTCCAGCCTAGACAGACATGCCGGCCAGCCTAAACTTACTTTTCTTGTCCACAAAAGTTTTGGGCAACCGCTGACGTTTTATGAGCACTGGGAACGGGTCTCTGCCATCATTGTGCTTGTGGATTTCGCGAACCTCCACTGTGTCGTCTGCCAAGTAGTAATGGATGATGTAAGGCCGATTCTCACCAAACATGCTGTTAGTGTCATCCCACATGGCATAGAAACGCAGGACCTGAGGTGAGGAAAATCCAGGCAGAGAAAACAAATACGAATTAATACCACTAACGCTCTGTCCAAATAAAGTTGGTTGAATTGGGCTGGGTAATTGGAGGCATGCATCTCACAGCAGTCCTCACTGTCAGCTACAGGAGAACCAAGCCCTTGCTCTGGGGACACTGGGACCAGTGGACTACTGAGGCAGCCCTAGGAAGAGCAGCAGGGGCCTGGAGGGCTGGAGCGGCCTGGCTTACCTTGAGAGAGGAAAGTCAGAGAGAATAATGTCTGCAAAAATACAAGAAATTTAGGGGAGTTTGGGGAAGTGTGAGGAAAAATGGGAAAAAAAGAAAGTGATTAAAAGCATAGCAGAAAATAATTGCCCAAGAGCGAGTAGAGAAGTAGCCCTGAGGGGGGTGACTTTTAAAATGAAACAGAACAAAGCAAGAGAGAATCTAGCTTTGGTTCGTAGGCAAGTGAAATCTAAAGGTCTCCAATCTGAACATTTGTGGTCATTTAATGGACAATTTTTCAACATTGTCGCGCTGAGGACGGCAGAGAGGAATGCACTTGGCTGCCCTGAGGAGACTGTATTCATTGCAGACTTCATCTAATTGCTGCCTAGTGGAAATCTCACGTTTCAGTGCCACACAGATCAAACTTCTCACACTGCAATGCTTCCAAGACAAGTCCATCACCTCCTGGTGCACTGTCTAGCTAGCCTTGCAGGAATGTGTTGACCTAATGTTAATCTAATAGAACCACAAGACTGCCTAGGTGGCAAGGATTGCTTTGGAAGTGCTGCACTCAGTGGGACAGCTCCCCAGTCCCCCGAGGTACAGCTCCTAAACAGGCAGCACAATAGCTGTTACAGGCAGAGTTGGCCCATGGCAAACCTGAGTCACTATGGCTAAACCGACATTGATAAGTAAAATGGCAGGTATGGTCCAGTACGTATCCATACAGCAATGTTGTCTGCCCCCCCCCCCAAAACAGGGTGACCGTATCCAAACTACCTACTTGATATGATCCTGGCCTGTGTTAACATCCAACTGATGACCAGGAACTGTTTGACTGATAGTTGGCCACGGACAGTGCTAACAATTGAACAATATGCGCAGGACTCAGGCCACGTCCTGCTCCTGTTTTGTTTACTACTATAGATGTATTCTATAGGGTTCCTTACATTGTTGCTAGATGAAAAAAGAAGATCTGGAGGAGCAGAAAGGAGAGTGTTAGTCATCTGTGCACATAGAACAAACAAGTGGTATTTGTGTTTGTGTGAAACGCTTCACTCTGGCACAAGGAATCAATGTTTTTGGGGAAGAGATGAGTGGATGCAGCACACCTATTCATATTAGAACTGCATCTCTCCATGTATGCTAACTTTCCAAGGCAGGTAGCTGGTTATCTCATCTCAACAGAAAGCAAGAGAGACATGGCGAATCTAGAGCCTGGGCTCTGCAATCCAAAGAGAAGCTCTTTAGAAAGGCACAAAGTTCAACAAGAAGATACAAGATTTTGTTTCTTACTAAAGTCAGAAAAGGGGCAACTTTGAAATCTGTCTGGTGGACTGAGATTTCAAGAATGAGTTGCGAAAGGCATCTGCTTGCAGATACCCACAAGACTCAGGTTCCAATAACACATGGAGTCTAAACTGTAGGTAATCACCGCTGTCTCACTCACCTTCTTGTCGTAAGTCAGGAACTGTTTGAGTTGGTCGAAATCTGATGGTGTGATGTACTTGCGCATAGGCATTCGACGCAGTTCTGTGTAAGGATCAAAAATCATTTTCTCTGGAGGGTTCAATTCAATCCCTTGGCTCTCCAGGAACACCTAGGGAGGTCACCTAAGGTATTAATGCTGCCATGAGTTCTGAAGCTAAGAGGCAACTTAGAGATTACAGATTGGCTGAGATGAGTGTTGCCAAGACACTGCAAGTTCATTCTTCATAGACCATCAGCTGCAGTAGTAAGTTCTACTGCAATAATAAATACAATAGATGACCAAAATGTTTCCGTTTAAGCTGCTTCTTAGCCCTCTTCCCCTCCCCCACCCTCAGCAAACCAACCTTTCACTCCCGAGGGCAGTCCTGTCCTCAAAAGTCCTAACTCAGACTTCACCGGAGCATGGTTTTCCATGGCCCTAAGTGTTGAGATCTTTAAGTGTGGGATACCTTTCAGGTTGGTCTCTTTTATGTAAACTAATAAAGATTAAATTAGCGCAAGACTACTGATGTACTCAGTCTGAATGTGCAGGAGACCTACGGCTTCACAATGTGCCAAACAGCTGAAGTAAGTGCTACCTACAGCAAGCCCATTGAGGCCATACTGGCCAGAAGGACATGTGTCTGAAATGGCAGTTCATCTTCCAGGAAGAACGCCTCCTCACACAAAAAGGGCAATCTTGTGTATAAAGGAATTTTTGGCTTACCTTGTGTGCCCTTAAAGCATCATCTAAATCTGGAATATTACTTGCGTATTCACCTCAGTCACCCAAAACAACTTCTGAAATCAGTGGACTTCTTCCCCGTCTTGGCCTCGGGAAATGGTCCATGAAAACATTCAGCCTAGGAAGCAGCTGTGCAAACATCTCTAACAGGCCTGTGAGATCACTCTGAAGGCTCATAAGGCAGGTTCACACTTTCAGACTCATTATTTTCTGGTCTGGAGGATGCCAGTTAACGATAAATAGTCTGGTGGCTTTCAGATCTAGACCCATGTTGCTCATTTCATGTTTTTCACCAAGCAATCAACGTTAACATGAGAACTAGCTCCTCATCAGATGTCAGTTGACTTTAACAGTCAAACCAGTTCCAGCAGAGGAGCTGGCCCCATATGCTCTCAACAGCTACATATACACTAATACGTTATACATGCTTGGGAACATTCTTGGGCACTCAGGCCAACTGGCAAGGGACAGCCCACCTCTATGCCAATAAATGCTCTCAGGATCCAGGACAGAGAGGCTGCATGCAACTGATCTATTGGGAATGGTCCTTGCAATGTTCTAACTCCTGGACTGTTCCTGAGAATTGCTTGGAAGAATACTAGTTGACCAGGGCCAAGATTATACTGGGGAAAATCTAACAGCATTATCAGCATAAAGGATCATTATTATTTCATTTTCTGGTAGAGAAATAGACAATGTGCTGAAAAACAGGAAAGGAGTAAGCTCTCTTAGAAAAATCTGTTTATACCATGATTCTCAACCCACTGATCATGACCTCCCTTCTGGGTTGGCAGTAGATGGATGCTGGGGTTACTGACTGCACTCCCTTCTCCTATTCTTATCAGAGGAGTGCCAAGAAGGAAAAGAGTTAGGATCAGTGATTTCCCTCTTATATGCGTGCTAAGGTTCATCAGGACTCTTTAAGTAGTTAAACTGCTGAACACATAGAAATGAGCTTAGACCACATAAATGAGCCCTGAATTTGTACTGTAAAGAGCAGTCCTGAAGACAGAGGATGTACTCCCAGGAGCACTGGGGCAAAAATACTGAGTTATTACTGTACTCTCACCACAGATCATACTTTGAACTTCCTATTGATTTGAAAAAAGAAATCTCCACAAAAGGCAAAATGAAAGATCACAAGTAACCTCAGTGTGAAAGCTGCTGATGCAGACTAGGGGACTAGACTCTAATGGGTCCTTCCATCTCTAACTCCTGGAATTCTTTAGGTCAGTATCCTCTGAACAAGCAACATACCTGTGTGAATGGGTCACAGTTAACTATGCGGTATGTCCTGCCGTACATGGTGATGTTCATGCCCCGATTCAGATCCTTCCAGTGGTAATGATCCCCACGGTCATTCTTGGGCACTCGCTGGCGTCTGATAAGTTTGCCTTGAGGAAGCCCGGAGTTCTGCACAACAGGCTCCATGACAGACATGCTGTCATCTTCCAAATAGTAATAGATACCCACTTGGCGGATCCGGTAATGCTCCTCTGCAGAGAGAGGAACATCCTCCTGGAAATAGGCATCAAACTTCAAAATCTGCCAAAGGGCAAAATCCCAAAGAGAGAGAGAGAGAGAGAGAGAGAAACAATCTGAACACCATGATTAGTTTATCAATACAAATACATTATTTGCAATGTGCTTTGGCAGTGCAGTGTTACTGAATTGTAATCTGCAAAATCATCAAAGTCAATTGTAGCCTAATTTGTGACCAATGGCCTTTATCAAGACCTGGCTTTTATTCGGTAGGTGTGAGACAAGTGTAAACAGGTGGAATAAATACAGCCCTTTCCCTAGCCCTCCTTGATCCGCAGATATTTTACCCACTGCCAGGCACTTGGCACTGCCACTATCCTAGTTCATTGACCTACACGAATTTCTTTAATACTGCTAGCTCCTGCAGATCCTGGTTCAGAGAAGCTATCCGTGCTTAAGCTAACTCTTAATTTTAGTTAAGAGAGTTCCACCCTATCTGTGGATTTTAGAATCTGCCCGAGTCACGTGAAGTCAAATCTACCCAGGATTGACAAGAACAGCCAGTCGGCGCTGGAGAAACAAGAAGAGAAATCAGGGCACAGAGAAAACGCATCTTGCGCACCCTGCCAAAGCCAGTTAATTGCAGTTCCTGTGCTTGGAAGAAGCACAAGGAATATTCCCTCTGAGGTCATTCATTGCCCTTAAGAGGACATAGGTAGCCAGTCAGGCCTTATCTATCCAGCCTACACTAGCCCACAATCCTAGGTAAGTAAGTGAGCATGTTCCCGCTAGCCAGCTAAAGTGTTCAGAAAGGGACTGTGACTTCCCCCAGCAGCAAAGGGGCCCATGCTGCTACTCTGGCTTGAATGAAGGGGCAATATCTGACAGATTCAATGGCTACATCTACATTGCTCCTAAAGAATAGCCTCTGAAGCATTAATTAACACAGCACATCTGTTCCCACGACCGTCTCACAGATTGCTTGAGGGCTGGCTGCAGATTCCCTTTCCAGGCCTGCCTAGCAGTGTGCTAACCCCCTACATGTGCTCGGGCCCCCTGGGCCTTGCATGCTCTGCAGGGACTGCTCTGTCCAGGGCTGTGGCTGTGCTTGCCAGCTTGCAGTCTGTACAACCGGCACATTTAAACTCAAGGGTCAACTCAGGACTGCTCCAAGCAGACACATACCTGCTTCCTAGTCTGATAGGATCACAAAGATGTAATGCAGGAAGTACAAACAGGCTAGTACAGGCTCTATCTAGCATGCTGTGGTGACAAGCACAAGCATAAATAGATAGACCACAGCTAAATAGATTTGTATGGTTTCCATTGCAGTGTCTTTTACAGTTTCAGCTCAATTACAATCTCAGTATAGTTTTGGAAACACAGAAGGCCAGGCTATGGTTTACAGGGCAACGGCTATAAATTGAAGTTTTTCAGAGTTAATCAGACGTCTTCTCAAACTCCGGCTGGAAATGCTCTGGCGTGGCTTGTGGAGAATGTCTTACATCGTTTATGTATTATAATCCTCCTGCTAAGCAAAGAAAGCCTCTTTCAGACTGGGGTTCAGCTGTCTCTGACTAAGGGCTATGGCATCTGAAAACTGTTGTACGCTGTCCCATGAACCCTTGAGCTGACTGTTTATGTCTCTGAATTTGGCCAGCGATATTCCTGGAATAAGCTTCTTTATACCTTTTTGTCAAAAGCCACGTGTGCTGGAATGAAGTCTGAAGGCGGAGCCCGCTTGGCTTGCCCATAGGTCAGCGTGGGTCTCATGTTGGATAATTCATCTAATTCAGCTTGAGAGAGCTGATTCACATAAAGTCGCTCCCCACCTATCCCCACTGTTGGCAGCCGACAAAAAGCAAATCCGTTTTTGTAGCCCAGTGTCTGAGAGCGATGAAAAGATGTTTTCTGTGGAAAGAAATCCAGCTGTTAAAATACTGTATGCATTCAGTAGATATTGATACTCAAAGCACAGAAAAGCAGCAAAAAAGTCTAATATCCAGAATGCCCCCTCAGCATTATACTATAACCTTCTGCAGCAGTTATGTGCAATTCAATTTTACAGGTAGACCAAGCAGGCTGAAAAAAACAATAAGAAGCAAAGCATCAGAGCGAACTCAAATGCTAGCATTGGCCCAGACCCCCTGACAGTCCAGGTTTAAATCGCTTAATTTCTCTATAGACATAATTCTCTGTGTCCAGATGGGATGACAGCACTTTATCGGCCTTAGTGTTTATCTCACAAACTCTTTGTTCCGTACTCTGTGTCACAGCAGCACAGAGGATCATGGGACCTCACTCTGTTATGGCCTTTTGGTGCTCTCATGACTATAATACGAAGATGGTTGTCCACCCTCCATGTTTTCCATAGCTATTTATTTAGTTAACTCTCTTCCGGGGATAATATCCATAGGATTTTCCTCATTGGACAAAATCAAGGTGTGTCACGTTCTCAGAATTGCAATTATGAAATGCGCCTCCGCACGTTAGGTGTTCCACCACTGCTCTCCGCAGTATATGTAAGGGTCCACACATTAAAAAATGACAGTAACAGTGTAAGACCCTATAGCAGATTAATGAGAAGCTTGATAAAATGACAAGGATTCTATCTGTATGAGCACGGTATAACGTTAGCTAAAGTATTCACTTGTTATTCTTTGCTGGGTTGGTTCAGTCTTGATTCAGACCTTCTACCTATCTCTGCTATCCACTTCATGACAGCTGCTGAGCATTCTTCTTGTTAAATAGGGATCCCGATGGCACAAGGACATTCCCTGGTTTGCTTAATGACCCACAGCAAAAAAACATCACAGCTGTGAATAGTACCCGATCGCTATCGGTCCAGTCCTGCTTTTCACTGCTGAAGAATGAGGATCGGACTTAAATGACATCAGGCTACTCAACTTGCTGTACAGTCCACGATGTCCAGTACCTTACCCTTCAATTCTACAGGCATTTGAAATAAGGTATTCCTGGCTAGTCTCACTGGGTTTCCTGCACTTAATGTTCCAGAGGAAGCAAGAGAAATTGTGAATCCCTGATGATAAAGTCCTTGACTTTGAGTCCTTGAGTTTTGCCAAGCAGCACAGAATTATAGGCATTTATAGTGAAGGAACAGGCTTCAGTTCCTGCAGCTTCAAATATTCCTCTACTTCACATAGAGGAGGATGCAATTAGCTGTCAGTAGAAGAGGACCTCTGACATGTAGGTGAGCTGTTCTGAGTCTGTGCAGTAGGAGAAAGCAGTGTTCCCTTCCCAGCCACTGCAACCCACCAAGAGAAAACTCCTTTTCTAGTCTCAAAATGCAATGAGTCCAACTCAGGCATCTGAACTCCTTCTCCTCTCTCTCCCTCAGCCCCAATGGTTAAACCTTTAATCATATTTATACCTTCAAGGCCCTACTTGCATTTCATATAATTGCCTGTTTTCTCTTTAAATGGATACTACGGACCTTGCAGTGCTACGGAAGAGCAGTTAGGAAAACAAGTTCAGGAGAAAACAAGGTAGAGTTTACCGAAGCTATGTTAACAGAACATTTTATAAATATTATCCCTGCCACAGAATTGCATTTCCTTCTGTTAAATCAATGCCAAGGGGAAAGCAGTGGGAAAAATATTCAAGGAAAACCAGGAAGTTTGTCTTTAAATTGGGTAACATCAGTGTTTGTCAGAAGTGCACAGGCTTTTAAGGACCCGCAGTTGCCTGAAGAAAACACCTCATAACTTCGTAAGACTCCTGGGTCAACAGGCTCATAGAAGTGAGCATGAATGCCAGACTACATCTCACAATATCAGATGACTAATGCACATGTAACAGGGAAAGCCCAGAATGTAAACTCCTAATCTCAGTTGCTTCCAGTCCATATCTGAAGAAATGCCACTGAACAAAGCCCCTCTTTTTGCAAAGTCTATAATGCTTCGTACAGTGCCATTTCCCCTCCCAGCGTTTCTGTTCTTCTGCCACAGGAATACTAATCAAAAACAATACTACCTCATTTATATGCAGAGGTTTTCTTCAGCACATCTCAACGTTCACCTGGAAAATAAGTATCACAATGCCCATTTTCCAGGTGGGGAAACTGATGCAAAATGAGTTGATACTATTTACCCAAACTAATTCTGAGGAACGTTGCAAAGCTGTTTCTGGAGTCCAGATCTCCTTAAAACATTAACAATGGTTTAACATTCCAACTAAATGTTGTTACGCTAAAATAACAATCCACTCTGCTAAATCCTGCAGGTGTTATTCACACACACAGCTCTACTGAAGTCAGTAGAAGCATTCACATGACTAAAGCAGGCGGGATATTTCTGAAATAGGAAATAATCTTTTGTGAGGTGCGGAGATTTGCATTGCAAATTTTTAAAAACTTATAGATGACATTGAGGAAAAATATTATTAAGCTGAGACTAATACTGAATAACCTTTATACCTGCATGATTAAGAGTATTATTAAGAGTAAATGACTTCGCTTACCGTTGAAGAACTCAGCTGTCACTAACTTAATATAGTTGGACAGTTCATTTCAGTTCGTTTCAGAAAGCACCAGTAAGACTGGTACAGTGACAATTTATCCTTGAGTATCTCTAATCCACAGACAAGCAAAATAAAGATAAGAAGGGGTTCCGCTATAGAAAATAGAGAAAATTGGGTTCCTATAAATGCATCTAGAATGAACTGGACTGGGTTTTTATCAGAGTGCATCATAAGACAATCCATGTCAAGAGCACATCTATCAAGCAGATACCAGTGACAAGAACACTACTGCTATAAGAAACATAAGGTGTTATCTTCGTAAGGGAGCATTAGATTCCATCGGTGTTCTTAAAATCCTTCAGAGGTTCCTCCACCCCTCGCTTGAGAAGCAATCAAGAGTTACAGAAGTTTCTATTGTAGAAGTTTCAGCATTTCCACTGGAACATCAGGTAAGCATGAGGTCTATGTCCCAGAAGGTAAGAGGCTGTAGTGGGTGATATGGGAAGAGCAGAGCAGGCTAAGTGGCAACAGGGTTCACCATCCCTTGAGAAAGTTAGCCATATCAGATCCCAAAGGGTGGACTGGATTAGTAAGAGGATCTCTCTATTGGAGAGATCACTCTAGGGGAGTTATCAGGAACACATAGAAATGCTTGCTCTGGATGTGTCAGTTTTCAGTGGGAGTATCCACGACAAGGAATACTGTCCTACGGCATCTCTTTTCTTGAGGTAAGGCATGTCCCACGGCAAACGTTCACACGCAAGTGCATGAGGTTACTTATCCTACAATATCAGAGCATATTAGGGCCCTGTTCCCAAGGCCAGGCACCATGAATGTACCTGAAGGGAACAGGAGGAAGATGGGGCTTGACCTGGAATACTGAGCCACATGGAAATGAGAGAGCCCCTTAAGGATATGGAGCTCCAGGGCAATGTCAGGTCTGCTCACGTGTTCCCTACAACAGTTTGGAGTAGGGAGTATTGCCTTCAAGTGAAGCAGAGTCAGGAGAGTTCAAGGATACTGGTTTCTCAAACTGACATTAGTGGTATTGAGTCGAAGATGGGTAATGATGTCAAGACTCAATATATTAGTTCCCCCAGGGAGGGCAGAGCAGTTGACAGGTCTGCAGCAGTACTTAAGATTCAGGGCACATCCGTCCCTGTCTGTGTGGGCAGTACTTTCTCAAGAGGATATAACGAGGGTTTGGGGTTATCAGATCCTCACTACATCAGACCACTGGGAATGGGGGAAAGAAGGGGTTGCTTCCTCATTTAGGTATTAATTCCAGTGCAGAGGATGAGGAAGAGATTGCTTCTTCCAAGGAATACTGAGAGGAGCTGAAAGGGTCTCACTTCCTCTGGAGGATCTTGGAAGGCCTGGTGGTATCAGGTCTTTGGAGGAATACCAGTTCTCTGAAGACTATCAGTTACTCAGGTTCCAGGGCATCAGTTCCCTGTGGACTATAAAGGATTCAGTTCTCCAAGGGATACGGGGAGTGTTCAGAGGGCATTTGCAGAAGTATCAGACCTTTGGTGGAAGGGGTATCGGAAATATATTGGTTGAACAGGAGACAGGCCACTTCAGAGTGCGCATTTGTCCCTTTAACAAAGTTTGGCGAGTTCAGGACATATCTGTTTGAGTGATTCATTCGTTGTGGAGTACTACTAGAGTTTTGGCAGGTATTGGTTCTCCTGGGGATACCAAGACAGTTGAAGGGAGACCAGGTGAGTTTATGGGTCCTGGTTCTGGGCAGTATCAGAATGAGTGGTGAAGTCACAGCACATGCTGTTCAGAAAACTGAGACGGTTCAGAGAAACAACAGTTTTCTTGCGGGACTCAGGTTTCAATACTGTCAAGTGAGTTTGGGGATACTCCTTCCCCAGAGGTATGACATGGATTGGAAGGGGAAGTACTGGATAGATTCAGGCATGCTGGATCCCCTTGGGGTGAGTCTGCAGATAGTGGTTCACAAGACAGGGTCAACACAATTCAACAGGTGATAGTTCTGTGGTTAGCAAGAAAACTTTGGGAATCTCAAATGAGCCTGGAGGAACCTAGCTCTCCAAAGCGCTCTCTCCTCTTTGAGGAGGTGGATGCAAGATGTAATGGGTTCCTTGGGGATGGGTTCAAGAGTACCGAGTACCCTGAGTAGTGGGCTCAGTATACCCTCAAATCCATTCCCAAGGGATCAGGTCTATTGGGAGGGCTTAGGAGTAGGGTCAGGGGCTACGAGGCGGGGTGAGAAGGTATCAGGTCCCCCAGAAGTGAGCTCAGGGGCATCAGTTGGGTTTGGGAAATACCAGATTCTCCAGGGGTGAGTTCAGAGGGTACTGAGTCCTTGAGGAAGGTCAGGTGAGTTCAGGGGGTACCAGGTCCCCCTGGGGTCCCCTGCCAGGGTACCAGCTCCCCTAGGGGAATCGGAGGCAGACGCCGAGGGAGAATGAGGTGCGCAACGTGGGGTGGTCAGTGGGTACCAGTTCCCCTACAGGATATTAAGTGCATTTGCAGGGGGTTACCAGGTCACCTGGGGAAATTAGAGCAGGGGCTGAGGAAGTAATAAGTTATCTAGGGGAGAGATCAAGGGGTATCAGGTGCCCTAGGGGGTATTAGATGAGTTTGAGGGGGAGGGTACTGGGTCTCCTTGGGGAATCAGAGGGAGGGCTGAGAGAGTACCACATGCCCTGGGGGAATTAGGTGAGTTTTGAGGGATACCGGGTCTCTGGGGTGGAATTAGAGGGGGACTGACAGAGTACAGATCCCCTCGGGGGAATTAGGTGAGTTTGAGGGGGATGTGGGGCCTCCTGGAGGAATTGGAGAGGGGCTGAGAGAGTACCAGGTCCCCGGGGTGGGGGGCGCTCAGGGGGTACCAGATCCCCTGAGGGGGCC